TTTAATTCTTCACACTCATGCACATGCGTATGTAGTCCAGTGGACAGCACTAGTCCTTGATGCATGGCGAATAACAGAGATCAATATAATATGCCCTTATGCATTTTTGACAGCAAGTCTCAAGACGAGGTCTCCGAAGAAATACATTACTTTTTATAAGCAAATCATGATATAACAGTACATACATATATGTGTAGTAGGCTATCAAGGGGCCCTTGCTACAATAGTCTGTACAGATGTAGTATTCAGAATTATAAGTATTTTTTTTGGTTTACAGATAAATGTATACAAAACAGCAACAACAGTTCCCGCAGCACTTGAAGGCATTCTAAAAACAGAAACATTTGAAAAAGCTCGTCTTTACCAGTTGGACAAAAGCAACTTTGGAATATGGTCTGGTATCTACTCACAAGTTGAGTCTAGTGTGAGTTCATAGCCTTACTATCGATTGATTAATAAATATTGGAAATAGTATACACTATGCCCCTGTTATTATAACATTGTGCTAGGAACTTGTTATATATGCCTGTATTTCAAATAATCAGATCTTTTAAAATATTTTCTGTGTGTCATCTTATGTGAGGCCATGTCCTATTTTTTCCACCTTAATTCTGTCAAAATTAAATTGTTTGCTTCTTCCCAGCATTGCAATCCATTTGGAATAGCTTAAACTAAAGCATATTCATTTTCCTCTTCGGTCTATTTTCAATTTCAAAAAATTGCTTATTTCCATTTATCAAAATTCTTAACTAGCGAAATAAATATGCAATGATAAATGAAAAAAGTATCTAAAGCAAGCAGGAGCTTTAAGCATGAAAACCCTTTGAACAAAAAACTAAAAAATATATAAAATATTAACATAAAATCTGATTTTTTTTTATCAGATAGCAAAAAATAGATCTATTTGTTTCTTTCAAAAATATCAATAATTATTCATATTTCATGTGAATAAAGGTAGTCTATTTTCTTTTTACCAGTTGATTCTATTGCTTGGTGGGATGCCTTGGCTTTGGAGAGTGTCTGGAGATTGCATCATTAGTTTGGGGTTTTCACCAGAGTATGAAGTAAGTTTGCGCAAGTAAAACCACTCAAGTGTGACTGCAACAACAGATAGAAGTGTGGAAAAACTTCAAAAAGATTTAATCTATCTATTCGTTCTATTGTAGAAAGAACGCCTCTTCACCAAATAGCCACTCTTTTCTTACCGATGTATGGCATGTAAACTCCCTGATTTAATCAATCCATTATCTTTTTTGTTTACCTCTCCTCCTGACCCAATCTCTTGGCACACAGTTTTTAAATATATGTCCATCTTTTTTTTTTATCTTTTTCTTTCTTTTGGCTACTTGGCCTACTTATCTCCATTTTCTCTCTATGATTACATCGATCACTAATGTTACATTCCTCACATTAAAAGATTTTTATCTTTCTAAAGGTTTAAAAAAAACAATTATGATGAGGCACCAAGCAAAATCAATGCAAAATAACATATCTTCTTAGGTCCCAAGTAAGAAACTATTTAAACATTCTTAGAGTCATGTTCTTGAAAGTGATAGACAATGATGAGAAAAGTCTACCTGCAGAGGGCAACATGCATCATTTGGGAAGCTGGCAGAATCGTTATGCTACTGTCGTTAACATCAACAAAACTTATGAAAAGTACATATGCCCTCATAAGGCTGTAGAGATCCAAGACGTACACAGAATATTACTTAGGCGAGACTAGTTTGTATCTTTTTCATGAACCCTCTGCTTTCCAATAATGATTAATTCAAATAAAAACGGCATGCTGGCCTATGGTTCTGGTATTGAAGCCAGTCTTCTCGGATTAAGACTTCAATTTGTAGGCTTAGTGTACACAATCTGGTTCATGTGCACTTTAAAGAACCCAGTACAGTACAACTTTTGAGACGAGTAGGGGGATACCTGGTGTATTGGTCCATACAATAGAGTAGCTGGTACCAATTTATCGGGTAGCTCAGACACAAAGAAACTATTGGAAGAGAAACAAGCCACTGTGCGAGCTAGTCTACACCTCAAGTGCTTTAAGAGTTTGGTATAAAGTGCTATATAAATCCAACTACATTACAGGGTATTCTTTTTGCCTGTTTTGGATGTCAAACAGATAATTATAACAATTTATGTTTTCCATATTCTGTGAAGATTACTCAGTCTGTGGTGTTCTTATTTCTGGCATCTATTTACTCTTCAATCTCTGGTCTCCCCTGGTCAATCTACAGTACCTTTGTCATAGAGCAGCGTCATGGCTTCAACAAACAGGTAACAGTACAAATTTGCAAAAATTATAAATATATTTTTGTACCTTAATGGTCTTTAAAATCTCAAGAGGTTTTAAATGCCTTTTTGTGTCATTAATTCCAAGTGATTTGTGCAGAAAAACACACTTAAAACAACTCTCCTTTATGTAATTTTAAAACTTTTTATAATTTTTCTTTTAATACAAGTTGGTAAAAGATAATTCCAAGCAATTTGTGTGGAAAACAATTCTTAATGTGATTTCTAAATATTTTAATATTTTTTTTTTAAACACAAGTTGGTAACACTGCAGATTGTGATAACATAATTCTTTCTTTGAAAAAATGTATGTAGACATAGGAGTGGAGGTAGTTTTTATCAAATAATTGTAATTGATTAATGTGTAAATCTTGTAAGTTCAACATTTTCAGCCTCCGGACTGCTTGTTGTGCATCTTTTATACCTGAATAAATAAATAAAAATCTTATAAAAACTTTCTTTTCCAGACACCTGGATTTTATGCCAAGGATCAAATAAAGAAGTTTGTTGTGAGTCAGGCAATAAGTGCACCACTTGTGGCTTGTCTGATCTATATCATCAAGTGGGGAGGAGAGTACTTCTTCATCTATGTTTGGCTATTCATCTTCTTCTTTACTTTGGTAAGCAAAGAAATTACGGTAGTGGTGATGATTATGATGATAAGGCGAGACTTTTTTTTTATTCCTTGCTTTGCATACTTATTTTTTTAAAGATTATCGGAGGAGGGCGGAATAAAAATAAAATTTTGTTTTCTTATTTAGCAAATAGTTTGCCAAAACCATCCAGACAGAATAGAAAATAAAAATAAAATTATGTTGGTGAATGTAAAATATAATGCTCAAGGTGCAAATACAGTTCACCTGTTAATTTATTATTCTATTTCCCTATTTATTGGCATTTTCAACTATTAAAATCAAGAGTAACGGAGAGCATTTACATTCAAAATAATAAACCAAACAGGTTCTTGCTACAAGTACTTGATATCTCAGTTACCAGTAGCTCAAGATAACAGTACTATGATGTAGAAGTGGTTGGTGCATCAGTTGTGGCTTTGACTCTCAACCTTGAGGTCAGAGCTTCGAAACTCTCACTATGCAAGTTGCTCATGTCCTTGGGCAAGGCACTTTCTCAATGTTTCTTTCTTTCTACCCAGGAGTATATATGTGTACCTGGTAGGATATTGCGGCATTGATTGTTCTAGTACTGTATTAATAAATGTACAACTTAAAACCTAGGCAAAGTTACAGTAAAATAATTACAGCTAACTAAAAACACTCAAACTAACTCACTATAAGTTAAGCTTCCTGATTCTTGGCTAGCAAAAATGACTCAACTGCAAAGTACAGTACTTACAGTAGGTGTGCTTTCAATTGTGTGAATTTCTGAACTCTTGAAATGCTAATGTAACAAAAAATGGCTAACAAAGAAGAGCACCTGGCTTTGTATGTAAATTAGAGTAAAGTAAAACAAGCAAGCATGCTAAGTTAGAACAAATTAAGAAAAGTTTAAAAAGAAAACAAAAACATTTTCTATGAAGATAGTGGTGGTGCAGTGGTAAGGCTTTTAATATTATTGGAAGATCCAGGGTATTATTCCAGAGTATAAAATATAAATATAAAGCAAAAATAATTACATTCTAACTACAGTATAGTGACAGTTTTTTTCAATAATCCACAAAGTGTTTTTAAGATACAACTAGCAATAATTCTCAAGGTGCAAATACAGTTTAATGGAAAATAAAGACCCATCCACCCAAATATAAAGAAATACTGACGGTGGTGAACAAAATAAAGCAAATGTATAGAAAAATTTACAAAAGCTAAAAAAATGGTAGTTGGCAGCATGCATAATATGACAAAATTCAGGCAATATTTTTCGGCTATTTTTTGTAAAAATACAGTACTGTATTAACAAAACAAGACCTTGGGAAATACTGTACATACCTCTTTATCATTTAAGGACACAGAACCAAAGAAAAAAAAAGAACTCTGTACATGAATTGCAAGGAAGACTATAGAATTGTCTTCCAGTATCAAAGTTAAGCACTCTATATGATGAAGGGTATAGTGACCTGTCACTAAGGGTAACAAAGAATTTTTTAACCAACTGCCTATACTGCATCGGTACAGGTTATGTCAGTTACACATACAGATCCTTAAATGTTTCCTCCACTGAAGCCAACACTACAAAACAACATGAATACACAGTACCCTTCATCCTCAATATAATTTATATCTACATTAATTCTATTTCAAAGGCTTTCATTACTGTGTATGCTGACTACATCGCTCCGTTGTTTGATAAATTTACGCCACTACCAGAAGGAGAATTACGATCCAAGATTGAAGAGCTTGCTAAAAGCATTAGCTTCCCACTCTACAAGCTGTATGTGGTCGAAGGTGATGTAGTTATTTGTTAGATTATATCTATAGAGCCTAAGATGACATTGCCATCACCATTTTGAGCATGAAGTAGGAAAGATAGAGATGAATATCTTCAACTAATGTTTGAAAAGCTATGAATAAGTTCTATGAGTAAGATACGGATATCTGGTATTGGTACTGGAATGGCCATTTATAATTCGCCTCTTGCTTGCGGTTATAAAGCGCAGTTCTTTTCCCGGGTCATTGGGTGCTAAGTGTTGCTGCTGGTAATCAGTGCAGGAGCAGGCAAACCCACTAGCTACCAATTTATACTCCTGAGTGGAGAGAAGCAATGCAGATAAAGTGTTGCTTAAGGACACAAGCAAAATGCACAGCTAAGAATTGAAACCCTGACCTCGAGGTTGGGAAACCAAACCGTTCCTGCTGCGCCAAACCGCTTCCACTAAATATATGATATGTATATGAATGAAGATATCAGATGTGTTACATAAAGTTATCAGTTAATTAAAACCTATATCCGTACAAGAAAAATAGATGGCACTATACAGATGTTCTATTCCTCTACTATTACTATTATTTAAAAAAAAAAATTATTATGCTATTAATGTCATTATTATTATCAATTATTAATTGCTACAGGTTCCAAGCGGTCATCTCACAGCAATGCATATTTTTATGGGTTTTACAAGAATAAACGTATAGTACTCTTTGACACTCTACTGGAGGGTTATGTTCCAAGTAGTGAAGAGAATAAACAGGATGCTGGTGAGGGAAATGATGAAAAGGATAATACAAAAGAGGAAAAGAAGTTAATTGAGGAAGAGGTAAGCAATTGGGACTAAATTTAAAGTATTCATATAAAAAATCTAAACAATCAACAAAAAAGTGGCAAAGAAAAAATTGAACACACTGAAGGTCCATTGACAAACTGTACTGGCACCAATTGGTTGTGTCAGTCCAACCTAAGGAAATTGGACAATAAAAAGAAAGACATGATGCAAAGAAATTTGATATTTGTATAATGATGCATGATTTTGGTTGTATTTTCAGGATACAGTTGAAGATAAGAGTGAAGATAAACCCCGCGGTAAAGGATGTAGCAACGATGAAGTCCTTGCTGTTTTAGCCCATGAGCTTGGACATTGGAAACTTAGTCATAATCTTAAAAATTTCTTCATTGGTCAAGTGAGTGTTAAATTGATGATAAAATCCCTGTTTTTATAAGTTTTTGGTGAAGTTCACATTTGTAACTTGCATTAGTGGCGAGTTGTGTAGTGCATGGTCATATTTTACAAATGGACTGACCTGGCAAATGCTGCGTCTTGCATTAGTGGCGAGTTGTGTAGTGCATGGTCATATTTTACAAATGGACTGACCTGGCAAATGCTGTGTATTTAACTACAAACACTCCTGTGACCCGGCCAGTTGACATGCCAGGCCTGAACCACTCAATGTGATCCTACAATTGACATGACCTCTTACCTGTGACATTCCGTAACTTTTGATCAATCAGTTTACAGTATCATTTTGGGGTACCTTACATCTCGTATGAACATAGACTAAGCCATTTGTATGATTGATAAAGCACATTCAGCAAGTGGCATGGACATGTATCATGTTACGGATATTGACTCTGGAAAGGTGTAATTTTCTATAAATTTTTTTGCCACAAGTGAGTTACCACATGTGATTTTGTTTCTAATTTGCATCACAGGTGAATACATTCCTTTGCTTCTTTATATTTGGTCTTCTGATGGACATGCAGATTTTGTATGATGCTTTTGGATTCTACAACATCAGCCCAACCATTATCGGATTGTTGATTATTTTTCAGTTCATCTTTCACCCTTACAATGAGGTAGGTTAATTTGGTTATGAGCACTTAAACCCGAAGTAGATAGGTAAAACCAGTTACAAGTTGTTGAAACCTGTCATAGAAAGGAAGTTTGCATTGTCCATGCAAACCCTTTTAAGCTTAATTTCGGTTCTGCACCATGAATTTTTGAGTGGTTACTAATTTTACAAGCCAAGTGGTTGTAGCCATAACCCTAGAATATCTTACAAATTAATTAAAAACAAATTAAGCCATTATTATTGGTTATTATTATTATAAACTGGTTTATAAAATTCTAACCAGTTTAGATATTGTAAAATTACAGGAATGATCTGAAATTTGCTAACACGATCTTGTTTAAATTTTTTAGTTGCTGGGTTTCTGCATGACAAAGCTTAGCAGACATTTTGAATTCCAAGCAGACAATTTCGCAAAGTCGCTGAAGAGGGCAGAGTTTCTAAAGTCTGCTCTGGTGAAACTGCATGTGGACAACCTAGGCTTCCCTGTGGATGACTGGCTCTATTCTTCCTGGCATTACTCGCACCCTCCACTTCTAGAGCGATTGAAGGCTTTGGGAAAGACGGAGTAATTGTAATGTGTAAGCTGGGCACTCACTGCGTCGTGCAACAAACCCAACTCCGCTCCCCTTGAGCACTAGAGAATGCGACACCCTCTGCTGATTGTCGGTAGCAGTCTGAATGGATTGTCATTAAAAAAGATCTGTTGCACGTGCGTCATCGCGTACAGTGAGTACCCAGCTCTAGTTGTTATAATTTAGTACAAGGTTGTGTATGTGCATCAGGATGTCTGTACCAGTTTGGTGTTGGACATTATTCATCACGTTGAATACAGGGGTGGTGCCAGGATTTGCCCGACCAAAGCAAAGTGGGTGTGGTAGGGCGTCTTTCAAAAGTAGTCTAGTTTGGGCCTTCAATCTATCAATTTTAGAGTCTACTAATATGTAGAAAATACATATAATTTTTTTTTTCTC